CTAATACCAATTACATCAATAGTTTATTTCTAAGATAAAACTTCAGTTCAGTTTAATTAGTGCCAAAACTAGAATACACACAAACAGGTTTGACAATAACATGAGTAGACCCATCTTCAACCTTTCTTCATTTCTGTTCAACAAAACTTTCAACTCAGATTGATCTTTCCTCAAACCTGCCACTTCATCCTTTAAGTGAACCATATCTAATTTTAGATTGTTGTTGGCATTCCCAGCTTCACTCCCCTCTTCATACGAGGATGTCATGTGTGAACCTCTACTCACACCTTGACCAGGTGCCAAATTTGTTGTATCTCCGCTATCTTCGCCAACCTGTTTCTCAACCTGTTCTACCCAACATAAATATCCTCCACATCTCAAACACGCATAGTAGGGCTTCATGAAGTTCTTTCTTGACTTAGACACCTTGTATTCAAAATCTGTGTAAGATTTGCATACTTGGCAGCAGAGCTTCCCCTTCGTTGCAAGTGAATTCTCGATTGATTTCATATTTCCTTGAAAAAATTATGTTCTTTGCCCTGCATAATCATCACAGAATAGATCATTTACATACAATTAGAGATATTATTATGGAACCCTAGGTCTAAATGTACTTTTAGAGTGTGATTCTAAAAATATTAGTAATACCTTAATATGTGAGTCTTATTCTTCGTCCCACACAAAATTTAGAACCCTTCTTTGATTTTTACTCTCACTGAGCAATGAGCATCGGTCCAATGAAAATCAGTTTGGCCCTTTCATTTTCTACTTTTCCAAAATATACTTTTATCTCTGGTTAGGCTTCTATCCAACGGAAAATCAACGAAATACTAGTGCATACCTGATTTTTTCTTTTTTTTTCCTTCCTCTTTGGCTATGGCGGATGGAGAGCTCTGGATCCCAATTAGGGTTAGCCGCTGAGAAGGTTCGCGTAATACGGATGTCGATACTTAGGGATAGAAATATGTCGTCTAATGTATTAATCTGTATTAATCCACGTGTAATTGCCAAATCAGATATCGTTAGTCGTACGTTAGGCTTTAAACGGATGCCCAGTTCTGACAGAGACGGTACAACCTTGGCTTATTACTGACCACTCGGAAAGGTGGGATTATTTTTGAAAGAGAGGGCAAAGGTGGGATTATTGGTGATAATTTTTCCTAATTTTTTTGGTCAAACTATAGTATGTTTTGATCATAAATTATTAAAAAATATTTTATTATAATCTAAATTTAATAAAATAGGGTTCATTTTAAAAAATAATTTTGATGAATAAAATTTACATAACATTTAATTATTTAAAAATTTAAAAAAATATTTAGGTTAGGGTCAAAGTGTTGCACAATTTGACTAAACAAATCAAATTCTGATAAATTTTTGAGTAAATTTCATAGTGAAATTTGCACTAAATAGGAATAAACATAAGTCAATTCGCAATATAGGATTTAACTTTTTTTATTTCTAAATAGGACTTAATAAATTCTAGTGGGAGGAATAATCTTTAATAATGATGGACATTTACTTGAATAATGACTAATTAATGACCAAAGGTCCTACATTGGGAAATAAAAACATATGGTCCTATATTGGAAAAGTCATTATGTTTTAGTCCTATATAGGTAAATTTCTCAATTTCATAAAAGGTTCTCAGTTATAAGTCATTTTCCATATTTAGTCCACACATCAAATATCAATAATTTAGTCCCCAATTATTAAATTATTTTCCATAAATGGTCCTCTCTTAACATTCCAGTTAAGAACATAGAAAAAATTTTAAATTCACACTCTTCTCTAATTAATTAAGTTTCCTCCCTCATCTCATACTTCTTCCCAAACTTGTCACTTGGTTTGAAGCTCTAACCCAAAACCAAAATCATCATTCATCTCTCAATTATTCGTGTTCTTAGTGGAATCCAGAATCAAAATTGGTAACCTTCATGGATGAGTTTCAAGGCTTGTTTTCTTTGTAATTTTTTGAGACTAACTCTTGAAACTCAGCCATAAAGGTTATTTGTTTCAATTTTGGATTTCACCATGAAGACAAATAATTGAGGCAGTTGTGATAGTTTCGATTTTGGGTTCAGGGTTACAAACTCAGCGACGG